TAAAGTAACGGGCAAGCCATTAGGAATTATATATTCATTCACGCTTGGAAAACATATCTGTCTGGTTGCTGTGCCTCTTAGTACTGATGTGTGCTATGCAAAACATATCTGTCTGGTTTCTGTGTATCTTAGTGCTGCTGGGTGCGATGGCTAGGCGAACGCGATGTCGCAGGTTCTTCTGTGTTGTTCATGGGCAGGCGTGACACGGGTAGTGAAGCACGAAGCTGTTCGGTGGCTGGCCTCATCGGTGAACTGGTATCGTGGTCTGCACTAGGCGCAGGTGGCACTGCGGGAAGATTTGCTTTGACAGACTCTGGCAGGCATGTTGCAGGCGTCACGTCACAGGGCTCCTGATAAAATGAAATTTCATGACCCGCTAAATGTGACCAGGGTGGCGAGGAGAAACCTGGCCGAGCTTTGCTGTGTTGCGTATTTTGCTGTCGTCGAGAACGGAGGAGGTTGGACCACATTGCTGGATGGTTTTCCTGGGCTTCAAGAAAGAAAGGTCATCCGTGAATAAAACTAATGGTTTCTTCACCCACACATTGTCTTCTAGTGCCCCTGTTGTTGGTTTGGCGCTCGATTCCAGTCAATGTAGGATTTGCTGCACTCTTGGCTATGCTTGGCACGTTGCCGCAGCTTTGCCAGTTCCTGGTGGGGTGTCTTTGTGAACGACTCTGGCGATAAGCCGAAGATGTCAAGCTTTTTTCTTAGCAGTCTGTCATGTAAAACACTGCAGCGGCCACTGATATGTGGCTTGTGGTGTACACCAGTATGCGATGAGGTGATTCCCTACTGCAGTTCACAGCAGGCGCTGTTCCAGACGGGCCAGCTGGAGGTAAGTCTTGAACGTGTGGTTGAACCTTTCGATCTCTCCGTTTCCCTATGTCCAATGGATAGAATGATGATACATGTCTTTCATTCGGTGTTATAGGAAGCTGAAAGATTCTTTAGAGGTGAACTAGGGCCGATGATGACTGACCATCTCATCACGATACCATTCCGGTGCAATTATGTTGAGCAGGAACTCGGTCAGGGTTCTCGTGGGAATGTCTGAAAAACTGTCCTGACCATTTTGAGTAGTTGTTGCAACTTCCAACGAAGAAGTCGCGGCATTCATGCACGGCTCGATGCTTCGAGACTCGTTGTACTTTGCCTATTTGACCAGGACGTCGAGGGTCAGTTTTGTACCGCAATAAAGCCTTCAAGTTCTCTACCGAAGGCATCTGTCTCTTCAAAGTGGTGCCGGAACCCGGCAGCCGTAGAACGACGGCATCTAGAGCAACCGAGGGCAGACAAGCGTCTGGTTACCAACTCGGCCGCTCAATCATCTAGGCTGCTACATATCAACCGACCACCATCATGGTCTCGATAAAAGGCAAGCGTAAAACTCACCGCGCCTTTCAACGAAGATGGTAAATGAAATCAAGGTGGCTTTTTCATACGACGGAGCAAGTTTGCACGTTATTCATGTTCTCGCGAGCCAAATTGAAAGTGTCACTTGCGAGTTAAAATCTGTTTATTGAAACATAGACCTGCACCTAATGGGCTCCAATAGTAGCAACAATTCTTCGGGTTGCCGCGTACATTAAGAAGGCTGTTTCTTACTTGTCCAAACTGAAGTACCGAATTCAGCAGTTGCGGTCATCGGCAGTATATCCAGCACCAAACCCAACTATACCGCGGTGGACGGCCCGACCTTAGTGACAGCATAACGCACGTAATTAGAACCACTGAACTTTAAGGGCACGCCTCTCCACTGGCCTGCATTTGGGGAACATTTTCAAACCACATTCCACGAGAAGCCAAGTTTGAACGATGTAGACAATTTCGCTTATTTGAGATGAGGTCAATTCAAGTTTATTTCCAACACATCAAGTCGGAGGGGGCGACCGCTAGGTGGCAGCGAGCAGTGCGGACGCATACCCCAAGGCTCCCGACACCGATGTAAGTTTCATCGGTCGATACCCGTTTCGGCCTCTCTGCACTACCGGATCATCACCGGAAAGTCACTGGGAACATTTGGATACAAAATTCACCCGGTAGGCCACATCCTTACCTTTTTTGAAGTTCAGTTCTGAATTCGCAATCTAAGCGCTTCATAGGCCTTGCACGACTACGCTCTCTCGGCGCCGCGCCGCCCGGCGCTCGCCACCGCAGCTGCAACATGCCGCTAGAAACAATAGTCGATGGTGAAGAAATCTCTCCCGAAACCGCCGATGGATGTGGCTGGTTCCCAGCGTATCGTCGTCGTAACGCAAGCAAAGCACAGGCCATTGCCAAGACGCCGCAATATGTCGGGCAACATGGGCCAGCAGCTGGCGCCAAACCACCCAGTGCACTCAAAAGGCTCGCTACTGCCAGCAAGCTGCCGAATCTACCCAAGGATCACTTCAGAGTTGTTCGCCCAGGTTGTGGCCTCGACGTACGTCTCTGCAGTTAACACAAGGTTTTCAACGCACTCACGATGGCCGCACGCCTGCCGCCGTCGGCTACCGAAGAAGATATCGTCTGCTCGTACTTGGCGCAGAACATTTTCGTGGTGAGCACACCGCAAGAGACGAATGCTCTTGCTTATTCCACCGTTCAAGAAATTATTCTTACAAAACAGCGACACCCAGTCGCTACCTATCTTACCCCACCTGGTCACTCCTGCCACAGGGTGATACGCGGCGTCGACATCGACTTCACGGACGCCGACTTGCAACGCATGCTACGAACGCCACCCAACCCAACCGTGCTCGACACACGTCGAATCAACAACACTACCACGGTCGTGATCTTGTTCAACGACCTCAAGGTACCGAACTATGTTTACTGCGGACTCTGCAAACGCCAGATGGACACTTGCCGCAACTGCGGCCGAGTGGGTCACCACCATGATGTCTGCCCACACCCCACCGACAAAGTGTGTGATCAGCTTGGTCACGGCCTTCCCGGACCGGACCACGTATGTTCTGCACTCAAGTGTGCGCTGTGTGGAGGCACTCACGTAACGGGCGACCGGGCCTGCCGGAGCCGCTATCAAGTGTCCTACCTCGTGCGGCGCCGTCGGCAACAACTTCGATGTCGCAACAAGAGCCGTTCGTCACGGATGCCTGCTGCAAGCTTCCTGCCTTCAGCATACAAGGGCAGTTCAACCACAAGACCAAGTCATACCGGGCAGCTCACGGGCCTCAGAAACCACCAAGTCTACTTGGGTCGACAAGGTCACCGGTATACAGGTGAGACCCGCGCCACCGCGCACTCCGGATCATTGCCACATCCCGTAGCAGACACAGTTTGAGCTTTAGAATGCGAGAATACTTTTCTCCGCAAAGAAATTCTGATATTAAGGCGATCCTTAAGACGCCACAGCCTCAAGAGCAACGCGAGAGCAACGCGACTGAACCTCCCACTGCCTCTAACCCAGCACGCCGCGCGAAAAAGCGCGCAGGCCCCGCAAAAGAGTCCGAAGAACCTCTAACGATGTCGAGCATTATTGCACACCTGACGGTGCTGCTAGAACAGTTTCGTGCTGACATACTGTCTGAAATTAACCCGCTGAATCTTCAACTGTTTGAAATAACAGCCCGAGTACAAATCCTCGAAGCCGACGGGCATCAACAGATGCAGGGCCGACCAATACTTCATCATTAATCATGGCTACCTCAAGCAATCTCATCATTTGGCAATAGAATTGCCTTAGCTTCCCAAAAGGGAAAGATGCCTAACAACAAATACTGCGCTCAAATGCTGATAACCCTTCTGTCCTTCTCCTTCGGGAGTCCTCACCAAGCGTCCCGCATTGCGAGGATACCACGTAGAGTCAATCTTTCAGAAGGGTAAACGAGGGATTGCCACTTGTATTGCAAAGTCTTTTTCGTACACTGAGCATGAAGTTCGTCCTGACCTCAAGGTCGAACACATCTTGATAGAACTGATTCCGAACGCACACCTGAAACAGTCGGTCTTTCTTCTTAACGTATACAGCTAACCTGCCGACAGCAGACAAACCTTCATAGATCTCTTTCAGAAGGCATGCAAGATAGACAACCAACTATTGATAGCAGGCGATTTTAACGCGGCGCACCCCGGTTGGGAATATGGATACCTCCACTCGAAAGGCAAAGCGCTTGCCAAGCAGATAGCACACCAATGTCTCACTCTACTCACAGACCCCACGTTCTTTACACACACAGGTAACTCGGTAACAAGAGATACTACTCCAGACTTAGCACTAGTGCGAAACATCCGCAACTCTACATGGATTAACACACAGGTCAACCTAGGTAGTGATCACTACATCTGTAGCATCACCATAGCCGCATCCAGTCCACCACCGCGTAAATTCAAGGTAGTCGACTGGGATCATTTTCGCACCCTTAGAAAGCAAGATCACAACACATACACCTCTGTTAGAGACCTGTTCGCTCGGTTACAAGAGGATGTAACGAGAGCCACAAAAGAAATAGAAACCACTCGTGATGTAGAGCGCCTGGATAGCCGACTTGCTCACCTCATCGAGGCGCAGCAAACCCTACAGGCAAAATGGAAAACTCAAAAGCTCAACCGCCGTCTTCGCAAAAAGATCGCGGAGCCCAACAAGCAAATCGAAGAGCAGAGTGGCACTTTAGCTAGACAGCAATGGGACGAGGTATGCTACTCGGTAGACGCCCAAATGAGTAAAGGGTCCGAATGAAACCTGCTCAAGCATCTGTTGGGGGACAAACCCACGAAACCCAATCAGCAACTCACCATAGATCGCTTAATTCATAAGCTTCACAAGGAAAATTTTATGGACGAACAGATTGTCCACGAGCTCGCGTCACGCTACCTCTGTACTGAATCGAGCTCAGACATGGATTACCCCCCCCCCCCCTCCAATGCACATGGAAGAAGACTCATTGGTTTCTCCATTCACGAGTGCGGAGGTGCGGGCAGTACTCGCTGAGATGAATTGTAGATCAGCCCCTGGCCCAGACGGGATCAGAAACAAACTACTCAAAAATCTAGCGGACATGGACATGGACCTCCTCACTAAGCACATCAACGAGGTATGGGAATCCAGCGAAATCCCGCTCGCGTGGCACGAAGCCGCCATCGTGCTCACACCTAAGCCGGGCAAACCCCTTGAGCTCGGCTCACCCAGGCCCATGTCCCTCACCTCGTGTGTGGGCAAGGTGGCTGAGCACGTCATTCTCAAACGGGCCACGAAACATGCGGAAGAGAAACACCTCGTCGCTTTTAATCAAATAGGCTTCCGCCCGTCCATGTCGACACAGGACGTCATGCTTATTCTGAAGCACAAGATCTTAACGGGCAAGTTCAGGGACACCAGGGCTGTGCTTGCCCTATATCTAGAAAAGGCATTCGACAACGTTAAAGATAGAGAGAGATAAAGATGCAAGGAAAGGCAGGGAGGTTAACCAGATGCCGACAACACTATGCACTCGCGCATACTACAGGCGATTGCTGATGCTGGACTCGGTAAACGCTTCTATGCATACGTGCATTAGTTTCTCAAAGACCGCAAAGCCACCATTAGACTAGGCTGTTTGGGTTCCAAGACGTACGACTTGGGTCCCAGAGGCACGCCGCAGAGAGCAGCTTTCTCTCCATTTTTCTTTAACTTAGCTTTCAGTGCTCTCTCGAGAGAATTGAGCTCAATCGATGGCCTGAGCCACGCATTCTATGCCGATAACATTACCATCTGGTGTGGGGGCGGTAGCTACGGGGCCATCGAGCGCAATCTACAGATGGTGGTGGACAAGGTGCAGGCCTTCCTCCGACAGACGGGCTTACGGCTATCGGCCAAAAAATCTGAACTTTACTCTACAGGCCTAAACTAGGCCCTAAATGGATCCCCAAATCACCCATCTCTGTGTACACAGAAGACAGTAAGCAAATACCACAGGTCACTTCGGTTCGTATACTAGTAGTAATCCGGCAGGAGGACGGTAGGAACGGACTCAGCATAGAGCGCATAGTCACTAAAGCAGACTCCATGTCTAAACTAATCAAACGCGTTGCCAACAAATGAGGCGGACTATCGGAAGAAGATCTACGGCGTCTCTTCCACGCTTTTCTCATGAGCCACATCAATTACGTAGCCGTAGATCACCCCTGGACAAAAAGAGATGACAACAAGCTTAATCAGATTAGTAGAAAGAGTATCAAACAGGTACCTGGGCTCCCCATACAAACCAACACACAGAAACTTATGGCGCCAGGCCTTCATAACACTTTCAGTGAGATTGTTGAGGCCCAGAAGCTAGCCCAGACTGCTCGACTCTCCTAGACTGAGGCGGGACGTCAACTCCTGGCGTATCTCCAAATAAGCTCTCCAATAATCAACCAAAGAGAGTGTACGCTGCCGTCAGAGCTTCGCGAACGCCTTATCGTTTCCCCACTCCCACGTAGCATGCACCTGCAATACAACCCTGGCCGACGTAAGGCTAGAGCAGCCGCCCTCCTTAAAATGGCTTAGGCAATGCCCGATTCAGTAGCTTTCGTGGAAACCGCTCAATACGTTAATTTCAAGCACTTCGTAGCAGCTGTTACGTCACAACAAGGTGAACGCCTCACTTCTCTAACACTCCCCAACACAAATGCAGATCGCGTGAAACAGGTAGCTATAGCATTAGCTATGGCGACCATGGATCGCACAATAGTCTACACAGACTCCAAAGCCGCAGCTAGAGCCTTTCGCGCCGGCTCGGTTTGTAAAGAGGTAGTCCGCGTGCTCTCGCGTGCAACGTGGGCCGATACTAAACACTTGATCTGGTTCCCCGGCCACGTGGGCCAAGATCCTCACACCCTCATCCCTAACGCCAACGAGCGAGCTCACTCCCAGGTGCGAGACCTTACTCGCCGCGCCAGGAGAGAGGGTGGCCCAAGGCCCAAGGGCGAGCCATGGCAGCGGGACCCGCTCCTAACGTACAACGAAATTTGTCAGCACTACCGCCTTGAGCGCAGAAAGTTTTCTTTACCTCAGTTTCATCTAACGAGATCGCCAACTCTCACTTTACGTCTGTTATAAATAGGTGCTTACCCTTCACCTATCTCTTATTCACGTTTTATTAGTGAAATAAAGCCAGGCTGCCTTCGATGTGGGCTCCCGAAATGCAATTTGCAACATATGCTGTGGCAATGCCCCATGCTGCGCGCGGCTGCAGGGTCTCCAGCCACGAAGGAACAGTGGACCACTCTCCTCAAAAGTTCGAAAGAGGAAGATCAACTTCGGGCTGTCCAGAGAGCCCACGACATGGCCGTAGAATTCCACCTCCCGGTCCCGCCGTGGACGCGGCCCGTGGACGAGCCCCCTTAGGGGGACTTGTCTTCTCAGGACAAAATAATGTTCACTTTAGTCAGTCAGTCAGTCATCAAGTCGGAGGCCCTTAGGCAAAAAGATGTCGCTCTTAAGGAGTTAAAAGAGTTAAAAGACCCGTACAAAAACAGAAGGCATTTGAAAATACCACGGAGCTTTTTATACATGCATAGAAAAAAGTAAGAGGTTCTTTCCTTTAGTGAACAAAATAAACAGAGGGATTGTACATGGGTTACATAAATATTGTGTTTACATGCGCAAAACAACACTTGTTACACAAAAGAGTAAATAAAAAACATGATAAAATACAGACAATTACATTTGAATAGATGCCATATCTGAGAAGCAGACTTCACTCATATTTCTTGAACTTACGTTCAGATAGCTCGAAGTTGATACTAATTAGAAAGTTGTTTATTATAGTAGCCATCTCATAATTTAGAAGGCATTCTACGTAACGTGTGCGAGAAAAGAGAACTGGTCCGAATTGATTTCGAAGAGTGTACGGCCCGAGCTGTCAACCAAATGCCGATGAAGTTTGTTATATGTGTAAATGTCACGTGCTCTAGTGAGATCATAGTTTATAAAGAGCTGGTGAGTACCTAGTTCGCAAGGAAGCCCATAAAAATTTCAATTACTGTAAGAACGCTTTTTTGCAACTCTTTCAGTTTGTACAGGTTCTACGCAGATATATCTGCCCATACTAGTACGTAGTAAGATAACCGGAAATAAAAATAGGTTTGGTATATAGTCATTTTTATCCATGAAGGTACAAGGTGCAATAGCTTATACATGCAGCCTACAGTTTTTTGTCTAATTCAGGGAAAAGTTTTGATATATGTGTATTTCATAACATGTTCTCCTTGAACCATACTCCAAGAAATTTTTTTTTGTGTTTTACCACACTTCAGCAAGGTTCCCTGGAAGGAGAATTTCAGTGTAATGCATGACGTATTATTTGGCCCATATATAACATATTTTGTTTTACTTGCGTTTAGGACAAGTTTCATTTAATGAAGCAATGTCTTCACATGTCTTAAATAATTACTTACAGTAGCTTGAAGATTGACCATTGTTTAAGCACTAAAAAGGCATTCGTGTCATCTGCGTACATGACTAAAGTTTCTGTGTAAGGGATATTACATATTGTCTTTATAAAGTCCAAAGAACAAGGGTCCTAAAATTGAACCTTGTGGAACACTTTTCTCAAATAATGCTTCTGCCCACGTTAATTGATTGATTGATGTGTGGGGTTTAACCTCCCAAAACCACCATCAGATTATGAGAGACGCCGTAGTGGATAGGTCGAAATTTCGGTCACCGGGGGTTTTTTAACGTGCACCCAAATCTGAGTACACGGACCAACAAATTTCCGTCTCCTTCGGAAATGCAGCCGCCACAACCAGGATTCGCAGCCGAGTACCTTATTTACTAGACCACCGCGGCGGGGCCTGCCGACGTTAAGCTTCCGTGTTTAAGTTATTGTTTTCTATCACATAAGTAATTCATAATAAGTTTATCGTCAGCGCCACAAAATTCGTAATAAGATAATTCTCCTTCTAGAATGGCATGTTTCATGCTGTCGGAAGCCTTCCCCAGGTCGATAAACAGTCCAACTGTGTATAGTCTCAATTTAAAATTATTTAGTATCTTTTCCTTCACATTTAGTTGGGCTAATTCAGTGGACTTTCCTTTCTGAAAACCTCACTGAGCAGAGTGCACCATTTCACACTTTGAAAGAAAGTTCCTCAGTCTACACCTTATGGCACTCTCAAATACATTTGATAGCACTGGCAAAAGAGAAATCGCTCTATAATTATAAATGTCACTCAAAGCACCGCCCTTGTGCACAGCACATACAGGCACAAGCTTGACTTCAGAGGAAAAATTACCAGAGATGAACATGCAATTTACAATTTGAGCCAAGGGTTCCGATATAAGATCCGTAATGTGTTCAATGGCACAGCGCCTAAATCATCAGTGCCTGTTGCGGCATTGTTATGCTGTATACTTATCGAGCTGTATAATTGTGAAGTGGTCGCAGGACATAGACTGAGGGTGTTAGGCTGTCTCGTTCTACGGGTAATTTTTTCTTGTCTACGACGCCCCGAAGGAGGCACATAACTACCGAAATGGGCAAAATATTCGTTCATAGCTGCAATGGCTGCTTTGTAACTCGTGTCTTGAGAGAAGGCGTTCATATTAGCACGCATTTTACTTTCGGTAAAGAGTCCCACATGATTCACTTCGTTCCACAGTTTACGAGGCTCATTGTAAAAAGGCATTCGTCACAATTCTTCTTAGCTTTGCGTATGTCGGCGGTTAGTTATTTTTTTGAAAGTTCTCAGCACCTGTAGGTCACATGGTTGAACAAACTTGCCGCCTGTAGGTAGCCTGTAGGTGCACCTGTAGGTGACCACAGAGCCGCCCACAATATCTGCTTTATCAGCAGAGAAGTGGAATCACGAGAACGCTGTGTGTCCTGGGGCGTTCACACGGACCGAAACAAGCAACTAAGTCAAGCAGATCATATCACAAGCCAATTAAACCGAGCACGTTGAGACAAGTAGCCGCAGCTTCAGAGTAGCGCACACGAACGATCTGTTGCTTCTGATTGATTGATTGATTGTTTGATATGTGGGTTTTAACGTCCCAAAACCACCATATGAATATGAGAGACGCCGTAGTGGAGGGCTCCGGAAATTTCGACCACCTGGGGTTCTTTAACGTGAACCCAAATCTGAGTACACGGGCCTACAACATTTCCGCCTCCATCGGAAATGCAGCCGCCGCAGCCGGGATTCGCACCCGCGACATGCGGGTCAGCAGCCGAGTACCTTAGCCACTAGACCACCGCGGCGGGGCGATCTGTTGCTTCTGTAACAGTGACGAACATGCTGCCGAACATTGCAAAGCCGCGCTCGCTGTCACAAATCAAACTTCGACGAAATATGTATTGTTTCAGGTTTACAATGAAGTCTCATATGGCAAAGAATTGACACAGAAGGGTCAGTGGCAGAAACGTTCTACAACACGCGACGACCATGTGCGAGCCAAGCGTCGTGGCTTCCATCTATGAGACTGTGGCTAAACCAATTCAGCTGCCAGCGGTCACAGCACAACCGCTTATCTACGTTCAAACGTCCTTGGTACATGTGTCCTCTGGTCGTACGAGCGCGATCGCGCGAATTATTTTTGACGGCTGAAGTCAAAGGACGTTCCTGAAAAGCTGACTTGTGAAAAGAGTGAAGTGCAAAACGACGAGGCACGAAAATTTGTCAGTGGGACAAATTTTCGAAGACAACACGTGTTATGACCACAGCCACCTTTGGTGGCAATAACACTTGTCGTCTTCGGAGTCGTCTCCAAAAGTTTCACTTGTTGTTATGGCCCCATAAAGTGGCCATAAAAACAAGCGAAACTTTTGAAGATCGTAAAATCCATCGCGCAAATGAATAATAAAAATACACCATAGTTGCACTTGTCATAAAGATATGTAACGAACGGGTTTCAATACTTCAAGGCAGCGCACTCAAAGAAATGTCGAACCATGGGCTCATAATTAATGGTTTTGAGTTGCCAGTCAATCATGTGCATGAAACGTAAATAGACTTCCTAGTGAGAGCCGACCACTTTGGGACACTTGTGCAGGCCTAAGCCCCTACAACAATGTTTAAGGACTGTAGAAACAGACTTGGTGTGACAGTTCACGGACCAGCAGATGCCAACTTTACAAAGATGCGTGCAGAAGCTATGATTCTGATTGTACAAGATGTGCATTTTGAAATGTTGACTCTGTGAGAATGGAATCGCCACAGAACAAAAACGATCATGTTCTGACATATTTTAAGGAAACTTTCAACCAAATAAATGGTCTCTGTGACTTAATACTGTCGTGCTAAATAGATATTTTACGCTACAACACAGCCGCAGCACGAAGACGGCTATACCAGGTGACAAAGAGGCTCTTTCGAAGCTCCGAAATATTGACAGCGTATCACACCTCCATTTCTAAGTGCGCCAACGAGGATATGGATGAAGTACTGAACGACACGGCAAACGCAAAAAGGTCCAGTACATTATATGCCTCACCAAACAGTGGTGAAAAAGACAGGTCCACAAAAACATGTGTCGTATTCAATCCTTCTTCGCATGCGAAAGGGCAATTTTCTGTCAACGACAGTATCTACAGTCAGCCCAACTTGAACGCCGATCTAGTAAGCCTACTGTCAAGCTTTCGTCGCCACCGCATTACTTTTGTAGACGACAGTGAAACGGCATGGTTACAAATTTTGATAAAAGAAGATTAAGGTGATGCCTTGCGAAACCAATGTTATGAGAAATCTGTCGGGCCTGACGAGGCACTCCCAAAGGTGATCAGCGATCACTTTCTGGATGACATGGGTCTCTTTAGGCACAACTTAAAGCCCATTTTTTCTTGCAGGAGCTATTCGAGATCTTTTAGACGAGATGCCCCGGAGTAACCTGCTACAGTAGCAAAGCTGCAACATTGCATTTACGTTGACGACATAATCACTGGAGCCAACAACGTCAATAAATCTAATAAAGTTTGCGCTTAAACGATAAAATATTTGCTGGCCTTCCCATGAACTATCATAAATAGGCATCAAACCGGAAAGCCATGAAGCAAGCACGTGCACCTCAAGCACGCGCACCTCAAGCAAGGTTGTAAAGAGCTTCCCGTCAGCGAGTCACTGGCTGTTTCCAAGATTCTTAAGTTACGTTTGCAATACCATATTTTTGTGCGTATAACCCACCCCTGCATATAATCAGCACCCCCACTTTCAGCTCACCGAGAAAGAAAAAAAAAATCCTGGCGTATTGCCCGCACATTTTATATACAGGAAAGGCTGCACAAAAGCTACTGCTCAAGCAACATAGCACGTATGTAGTCAGAAAAAGCTTTATTTAGCAAGCAGAATACGCTGTCTGCAAGGCCAGTCACAATTCACTCATTGTCGCTGCTCTCGCTAGAGCTA